CCAAAGTTGGTAACTACCACACGTTTATGATACACCCCGTATATTGGAAAGTAATTTTAAAATGTGGACCTTTTAAACATGAAAAACTTTTGTAGTTCATATTTACTGAGATATCGCACTTTGACGCACTAATGAGCAACCCTGTATAATACAGTAAGCCGGCGCATATTTGCTTCATTGACCTAACATTGGCGTTTGAGATGGTTCGTTTGGGAGACATTCTACATACATGGTCGTTTTCTTGTGCGATAGAGTCCATTAATTACGATGGTGTTGAACTTTTGAAAAATAGTTTCATATAAAAGTTATTGACGCACATTTTAAAAATATATTATATGATATAGAGGAGTGTCTCAGAAAAGCGAGGCAAATTGAGAGTGTATTTTTTTAAATAGAACTACCCATTTTTCATTAGCTCATGGAATGCAGCTTGAAACGCTGCATATGCACGGTAAATTGTTTTTTATCACTTGCGACGTTGGCAGATTATCGCCATTTTAGTAAAATTTTGCTTAAAAACATGGTATCTAAAAATTCATTGTAGAAGCAAAAAATGCAGTTATCCCTGGGGGATATTCTGTTGGGAAAACAACTGGTGGCGTTGCAAAGGGTTTATTTATTATTTATTTGGCTGTGGACGGTGCAGGGCGTTCATTAAAATTATTGAATTTTGCATCAATCGTATTCTTCCTTAAATTTAACCCTAACACTAAGATTAACATAATTTAACTCTGAATGACTACAATTCTCTTTTCTGCAAAAAATGTTTAAGCTCTAAAATGCAAGTAAGCTGAAATTATTATATTAGTCCGGGCAGGTTGGGGGCTTCAGCGACACGAAACTAACGTCAATCTCATTTTCTCAATTTCCCTGTTCTAAAAATATTTGATCATAAATATTTGAAATACAAGCAGTTAAACTCCACTCGTTATTAAGAATGATATATTTTTCTAAATATTTAACAAATTTTCATTCTTTTTCAGAGGTCTAGTTATATATTGTTTGTTATGTTTCTGATTGTTCAATGAGTTTGCAATATTTGTCAGTAAATAAGGTAATTTTACGATTAGAGATAATTTGCCAGGTCCAGGTATAGTGCTAGGAATGTTCACAGCTGAGACACTTCATAGAGGTACGCCCCTAGCAGTTTGGTCTGAAAAAAAAAGACATAATCAACACATCTTATTTGAAGTAATGGTTACTCAGAATACCAACCCCCTCAATGTAATTGCGAATGTCAATTTTCTCGTTCTGCGAATGGGCTCCATCGTTTCCACATCCTACCGGAAGTAATAGGACATTTTTACCAGTAGCTTTTTGCAAACTCAAAGTTACAGGTATTGATCCCCCTTCTCTCGTTAAATCCGGCTCTACACCATATACGTGTTTTGTTGCTTTGATACCTGTATTTAGAATAATAAGTCATACATTATAAATAGAGGGCTTCATGTTTGAGACGACTAAGTTTTGAAGAGATATTTTAGATGTCCAAATTGCCCTACTTTTTTTTTCAAAAATTGATGAAAAGTTGCGCACTTTATGGAAATTGAAGACATGGCTCTTGGGGGAAATAAAATAATTTTAGGATATTGGAACTCGATTTTCCTAAAGTTTCTCAAAATTGCAGCTTTACGAACATCACGCTCTCTTCTTCTTCTGATACCACGACCGCTTAACGATCGTTGGTGATCATGTTGGCGATCATTGTTCTGCTGACAGCGGCTGGGAATAGCGGAACTGTAGACTTCCCATACCACTGCCTTAAATTCTTTAGCCACGATGTTATCTTTCTTAGTAATCGTCGGTACACCCACATTTCGCATGATTCGAGATATTTAAGCTATTCTCCTTGAGGCTTACTTCGTCCAGTAGTTAGGCAGTGTTCATACTTCTATGCCATACAAGAGAATTGGGAACACATAGCAGCGTACCAGTTTCATTCTGAATTTTAAAGCCAGCTTTTCATAAAGGCAGCTCTGGCTATATCTATTCCGGTTTTGATCTTCATGCTCCGTTCCTGATGATCATTGATGCACCCTTGTCAGATGCGTGCCATCGATCACGATAATTTTACCTTTAATATCACGTGCTTTACTGATGACCGTATATTTTGTTTTGTTGACATACATTGAGTTTTAAGCCAAGTTCAGTACATGTGTCGGAGACCTTATTCATTAGATTTTGTAGATCTTTTTCGTTCCAATTAGTGTATCATCGGCCTATCTTATATTATTAACAATAACTCCATTTATATTGATTCCTTGAAGAGCTTCAACGAATATGTCTTCCGTCTAGAGGTTGAGACGCATGCGACACAGAATGCAGCCCTCTCGCACTCCGCTTTTGATATTGACTTCCTCCGATAATTGATGTTCCAATCGTATTTCAGCTTTCTGGTGCTAGTACAAATTGGCAATAAGTCTAATATCTTTGCCATTTACTACCATTTTATCATTGCGTATCAACCGCCTTTTCAGAGTCAATGGAAGAAAGGAACACACTATCGCTGACGTCGCGACATCTTTCGATGAGCACATTAAGACAAAATAATGGCTCTCTAGTTCCGAAGCCGTTTTGATCCGGTCCAGGCGCATTTCTATTTTTGCAAGTTCTATTGCTTGTTCTACTTCCCCTTTGGTAATTAGTGGACCTGAAGCGGCATCAATATCAGATTCAGATCTGATATCCCCAAAAAGCTCTCTAATATATTTTTCTTGATCCTCTGTTGAAAAGTACGTACTTTCGTCACTGTATTCGATGGTCACTTTTACTGATTACAAATTGAATTAATCCCGTGTGGAAAGTAATGACTTTCGCCACGCACGCTAACAGCTTGACTGTGTCACTGACTGTACGCAGTCATACAACTGATTTCGTCAATGTCTGACAACATTTTCAAAATATTTTATTCAAAACCGTATATTTTTTCCGGATGGTTTCTGCCGAGGATCAAGTCAGATCAACAAACAAGTGTCAAATTACTACATAACTTGTAGTTATAATTTTAGCCACTCGTGAATAGTTGTTCACTACAATACCTTTCTAATTTTTTCTAAATGTTCTGTTCTTTAATCAGAATGTGACAACTTGATAGCTCTATCTGTTAGTGCCCTTATGACACTTTTTACATTTTTTTTAAGTATTTTTTTTTTGTTTCTCCAAGGTTGCAATAATTAATTGTCAAGCCTAGAAAACTTATAGATTTGTTCTTATCTTCTTCGAGGGTAAATTTTACGGCCTTGTGGAAATTATTCAATTATCGACTGTATATTGAAATTTTGCTTCTTTCGATATTTTCCCAGACAAGGTTTGCAATTGTGGCGAAGATGGGTATCCCGACTGCTACTATATATTTGATGCAATATATTTGTGAGTAGAAATTATTTTCGAAATGGAAATATGTGAATTTCAGGCACAGCTAGCAAGCACAGCTTTCAGTCCAATTATTTTTTATACAGTTTATTGAAGATGTTTTTTCTTGTTTTAAAGAAAAGACAATGCATTATGCACACCAAGGTAGTGTCTGAGCCGCCCCTACTAAAACCTCTTCTCATGGCTTCTCATTTTCCTGGAACGGCGCCAGAATTACTTCGGGAAAAGAGAACTGTTATTCTACTCAACCCATATTTGTTTCCTCTTTTTTCCGTTCCTTATATTTCGCACAAAGGTATCCACAATATTCCAGGTATCCTGGCTAATAAGTATGGCCTCCTCACAATTATGGCTAGTTAATGTGACGCCCAGTGCCTTGTGTGCTGCGTCTATTAACAGTCTCCAGTTTTCGCAGTGAAAGAACACGTGGTTTGCGTCTTCAACCACCTGGCATCTTCGGCATAAGTCGCTGTCGTCCACTCAGCAATTGACAGAGGTAGAAACTTATCTCTCGGTCCTTAAGTCCTACCCATTTTGTAAGATCTGCTATCAATAGCCGTGTGCATGCTCTTTTTCAGTTTTTGTTGCCCATGTTCGCTGCCATTCGGTATCTTCCAGTCGGTGCTACTTCCTATTCCTTTAGCGACTAGAGGCTTCTCTTTTTAATTTGGAGGTTAATGGGTGAAATTCCGGCCAGTACCAATGCACGTTCTGTAGATACACTTCGAAAACTGCAACATATCCTAAGCGCTACCCTACGTTGTACCCCTGCCACCAGTTATATGTATTTTTCCCACTTTATGGTTTGGGTTAGTATGTATGCTATGTGCCCAGTGTACATGACAATCGAATGTGCCACGTTTGATAAAGTGCCATTGTTGGATGATTTTGGTCTTCCTATGTTCGATATAATTCTGCTTAATGCCATTAGAGACTCTTAAGCTTTGATGCCACCTTCATTTCACAGTTGTGATCGAACACTACTCCGAGATATTTCAACCGCGATTCTGTTTCTATCGCTTTACTTTCCTTCTGTCTTCCCTGCTGCAAGTTTGAAGCCCTTCTGCGGATCTCCTCCGACAGCTTAGCCAAAACGCAGTTAGTAATACTGACTCGCTCCAGCTGTGTTTTTGCTTTGCAGTGTAACGGTTGTGTCTTCAGCGAATTCAATGACGGTTGTTCCCGTAGGGAATTCTGTTGTCAGCACAGGATTATAGAAATGATTCCACAGGATCGGTCCCTGTGGCACGCCAATATGTACAGATCTTTCCTAGAGACCGTCCGTTTGATATTATTCGGCGGAGATATAATGATGTCTTTCAGCGAGAGCATGATTCCTTCCCAGGGTGCTGAGTTGAAAGCATTTCGAATATCTAACGTGTCCATTACGCAGAGTTCTCGGTTATTTGGAGCCTCCTGATTTGATGTTATTTACGATTTCCCGCACCTCTTGCATTGTATCAGGGGTGGACCGGCTTTTCCTGAATCCCTATTGGTGGGTATACAGTTTCCCATCGATTTCGCAATATGGCCTGTTTGCAATGACGGTTTCAAAAAGTTTCCCAAATACGACAAGTAGACAGATTGGCCTGAATTTAGTGAAGTAATATTTCTGAATAAAAACCATTTGCGCTGTCTTTTCTTGATGTGGAAAACTCCCCTTTTGTAGAAGTGTCTTATAGGCTAGCAGAAGAGTGTCAAGTTCCCATAGAGTTGCAGCTGTTACCACCTCTGTCGTTATTCTATCTGTCCCAGCAGCTTTTATTTCTTTACAATTGGAGGTAGTCAGCAATCTGATGGTATAGCTTTCCTTATAAGTTCCTTGGCATTTTCCAATTGTCTTACACCATCTAGCTGAACTGTAGGGTCCAAATGGACTTTATTTTGTGTTTATCGGCTGCACAAATAAACAGTGCGACTGCTTGTTTAATTTAAAACGTTAGAATGGTTCATATCTTACTAGGACAAAGAGTTTTGACAATTGTTTTAGACTAACTGGGGGTGGTGGAGAAGTAGCAGTGGTGGTATTGTGGGGGGACCCGATGGGTTCGGCGGGTTGGTTTTAAAGGCACCTTTTCGCCATTTCCCCTCCATCTATCCCCACCTTACCCAGCCGTCCCGTCTCCCTGACAAAGGCAAAGATCCACCTCCACTCCAAGGAAGACAATTCGATGCGGAAGAGTGTGGAGGCCCCTCCTAGTAGACGACCAGTGATGGCAGACTCCGACTAGGTGGTATGATGTTTCCTCCAGTATTCTGCATTGTGGACACACGGGGCTATCACCAATTCCTAGTAGGTGTATGTGTCTGTTCAAACCACAGTAGCTTGTTATGACCCCAACCAGAGTTCTCAGGCCCCAACGACTCCTTGACATCAACCATTTGGATTGTTGCCTTGGCGCCACTTGGGGTTTCTATCAACTCCTTAGCTTCTCTACACACTTCCGCCTCTCTCCACATCTCTTTGGTGCCCTGTAAGAGCTCAGTCATTTAGAGCACTTGCTACCTGTCGGTTGCTTAACCCTACGTGAGGTGCGGCAGTTATTGGGCTCTCAGAAGGTCCGAGCCTTGCCAATGCCCACTGGTGAATCCACCCCAGGTTTAATTGTTCCTGTTCTACTACTACTGCACATCTTAACTCTTGAGACTGCCTCGAGGGCAGCAGTCCTTCTGTAACTTCCATATGTGTGGCAACCTCCAGGATTACTTATAATTCCGTTTGAAACATGGTCTTCCAGCTTCCTAGTCAAAACGACGCTCCGCTTAGTGTCTTGTTGGTACACACCCGCCCCAGACCATCCCGTATTGAGCGCCCGTGAGCCGTCGCTACACCAACATTGCACCCCCCCACGGTTCTCATATTGCAACTTTCTTTTCTTGGTATTTGGGAGTGGTAGAGTAACATCGAAACGATTTAAAAATTAAAAAATTGTGAATTCGAAATAAATTACTGAAAGCCAGTCAGAGTGATTTTGTGACAATGCACCAATAACCTGACTTTCGCTTAAAAAGTCGTAAAATGCAAACCCAAAATGCCAATCAAAAATTAAAGCACTTGACAGATATTAAAGTCGAAATACTTATAAAAACTTGCCTGCACTATAGTGTGGATGGAACGGGTCTTCTGTCCAGGGAGATCCGGAGTGTGCTAAATAAACCTAAAAAATGCAAAATTATGTCTCGCCAGCCTTGTTCATGTTATTCGTACTTTCATCTCATTTGGACTTCCATATTGCTTCCATTGCTCTTTTACATATTCAACAACGTATGCCTCAATTTTAGCAGGCTCTTGGTTGGGAACAATTCTAATCGAAAATTTGCCGACGACCTTTTTAGGAATTACGGTTTTCTGACCCGGTTCACTAAACGCGCCTTCAATCCCTGAAACAGTTCGTAAAAAAACCTTAAGCAACCCAATTCAACCAAATGTTACCGTGAATTGAAAGGGACGGATATCTCCATCGGTGCATCAAGATTTTCTCTTTCACTTCGTTGTGCAATAATTGCTTCGATCCAATATCTTCTTTATATTCGCTGACCTTGAAGTGGATCTTTTCGTACAATTTGGCTTCTTCATCTGTGAGAGCTGCAACTTCGTTATTTATTCCCGTTACTTGAATTTCCCCGTCTTTGTTCATCAGAGTACTTAATACGTGCACTAGATCATTCATAGCTTCGTGCCTGTTAAAGGGTTCAACAATAAATTTGCCTAAAGTGTCTGAAGGAAGACCACTTACACAGTTCCCCCAAAAACACCACTATGCAAGTCCTTCTTTGCGCATTCGACTTCAATGTGAAAATAGCACAGACCTCTAAGTCCATATGTAATACACGGCTGCTCAGTTCCTAGCCAATAGTTGTCAGAAATGCACACGAAATCTGTGCCTTTTAAAAACTTTTCGGCTTCCCCATACAACACTGGGTCCAGACCCACGCTTCCAGACTCTTCCATGCCTTCGAAGACGAATTTCAAATTTACCTGAGAGAGAAAAATTTAATCTGTTATAGAATTAGATTAGGGCCAAGGCAGGATCCACCATATTGCGGAGTGCTCTGCACATTTTTCAGCTGTTGTGTAAGCGCCGGTGAAGTTATTGAAGAATGATCAGATATTCTTGCGGTTCTTTTGTACGGCTTTCAGGCGTAGCCCATTGAAACGTTGATGAAAAAGCTCAAAGCGCTCGAAATAGGGACATACCAGAGAATTCAGCGCACCTCATGGATAGAGCATATAATTAACGAAGAAGTAGTTAGAAGAATGGGAACGGCGAAAAAGGTAGCATTCACAATGAAGATAAGAAGAATAGAGCACTTTGGACATATTATGAAGAACAATAAATATCGACTTCTACGACTTGTTCTACAAGAGCAAAGGAAGAAGAAGGAACTCGTGCCTGCAAAACCACGCCAGTGGTTTGGGATAACAACTATTTAGACAAGCGGCTGATCGAATAACAATATCAATGTTAATCGCCAACGTTCGCAGATAATGAGGCACCAAAGGAGAAGGAGAAGATATCCCAAACTTTTTGTATTAAAAAAATAGTTTAATTACTCTCGCTGCCGCTATCTGACCAATACTTGGTACCGTTTCATATTCATTCTAAATACAACACTAAAATGGACCCTGTTCAAGGCTATACTAAACACTTACTGGAATATCCGCACCGATCGCTGCATAAGCCTCCAATGCGTGGATCCATCCTACCACGGGACCTTTATCATCTGAAGCTCCTCTTCCAAAAAGTTTTCCATCTTTTTCAGTCAAAACAAAAGGTTCAGTGTCCCATCCATCATCCTTAAGTGCTGGCTGAACATCTAGATGTCCATATACTAACACAGTCTTCTTTTTGGGATCGGTTCCAAGAGTGCCTTATTGAATTAAAGATTGATTATTAGACTTGTGTTTTGGCAAATTAAATGTAAAACGAATAAAACGCTAATTGTTCTTACTTTGAAAAGACCGAAACCGCATAAATGTTCAGAAAAGGAGCATAAGAGCGTCCGTACGAAAACATCAACGATGGTACCAGAGAAAACACATACAAACCCCAGCAAAATAACCAAAGACGCCAAAGAAAATATAGAAGCACGACGATTAATGTATAAAGAGAGCAAATATGCAACTGATGAGTATAGACAAACAAGAAGAGAACCAATGAAAATGATAAGAAAAGATCTTGGAAATTACCATGAGGAAACGGCTAAAGCTATCATAGAGAAGAACGAAAATATGAGATAATAGAAACGGAAAGAAAGTAAATAACAAAATAAAGAGGAAGAAAGAAATAAAACCAAAATAATAGGAACAACTGAGACATGCTGGGGTTGTTAGTCCCCCATCGGGCGCCTCCCCAGGTGGCGGATAGGGGGACGCCTCCCATGGTGTGTCTCCTCGGTGGTACGGTGGAAATTAAATAATCGGGGCGGACCAAAACTAACAAATAAGCAGCGTCTGGCCCAAAATGGGTGGCTTCAAACAGTGTCTGTCTCAGAATGCTGAGTTAACACGCACCAACCCGTCTAGCCAGCGTGGTAGGTTTTATTGTTCTCATGAGATGCCAGTTACAAAACTTCGAGTACCCCAGGCGAGTAAGAAAATGTTTAGATAATCTCGCACTAAAAATATCGACACTGAATAAAGCAACATACACTCAGTTTCAAAAGTCTTACACCCCTCTTGTATTTACTGCATACGTTTAATTTATTCAAAATTGTTTTATTGGTAAACAAAACATACTTGTTTACAAGTAAAGAAACTGATGGAATTTCCAAAAAAAAAATTGTTTGCCCCTTTAAAATTGTGATGCAGCAAAAATTTCACATTTATATTGATTTATATTGATTGATGCTATATCGTGTAGCATGCCTAGAAACGCGTTTTCAGCGTTTGATAGCACTAGAATTATTGCTCTATGGCAAGAAGGTTTATCTAGGCACAATATTTCCAGAAGGCTGAACTTTCTTAGAAGCACAGTTAGCAATACAATTAGATGCTATGAAGAGACTAGTCAAGTGATCAACAGAGCTCGAAGTGGTCGTTTATCGAAAAGATCGCTATATTTCCCAATCAGCCCGTAGAGAGCGCTCAGTCACCCTATCGGCACTAAGATCTCAATTCCAGAGAACGTATAACCGTGTGATCCAGTGCTACTATCCGTAGAAGACTTTTACAATCAGGATTGAGGTCCAGAAGGCCTTTAAGTTAAGAGTTCCTTTGTTAACTCATCGCCACCGAAGGACCCGTTYACTTCTTCTTSTTCATCATCAGCTTAGATTTGTCTACTGCTGAACATAAGCCTCCTCTAGTTTMTTCCACCYTCTCSTATCTTGTGCGTCCTGCATCCAGTTGGTCCTGATGCGTTCTATGTCGTCAKACCATCTAGTTGACGGTCGGCCGCTATTTCTGTTCGCGTCTCCCCTGCTTCTTCACTCTATTATTCACTCTATTATGTGCTATTATTATTGAATCTATTATGGTCCACCTATTATCTATGCAATATGTCCTGCAAAGTTCCATTTCAGAGTTGCGATTCTCTCCACTGCATCCTACCAAGCCTGTTCTTTTGCGGAGTTGYAGTGTTCGTAATGTAGTCCCTAAGTGTCAATTGTAGCATTGATCTTTCCATTGCGCGTTGAGTCACTCTGARCTMCTGAGTCCAGTTTACAATAGGCACGAAATCATCGAAACTAGCGTTTGGCAGAGTGAAGAAATGTGCTCTTTACCGATGAATCGCGGTTTGGATTAGTGATCGATGATTACCGAGTAAGAGTTTGGAGAGAAGCAGGACACCGAAATATGCTTCATATATCCGTTGCAGTTCCTTCATATCGCGGTGGAACACAAATGTTTTGGGGGGTATTATGTTCAATAGAAGGACCCCACTTGGTGGTGCATATTACCTTGCAAATGTTATTATTCATAGAATGATACCCCTATGTAATGAATTGGGGGACCCGTTCATCTTTATGGATGACAATGCCAGGCCACATCGCACCAGAGCTGTTCA